CAGAAAGCGACAATACAGCGTATTAAAACAAAGAAAAGGTGGGATCGTATCCTCTCCCTTCTGTTTGGGGGACCCTTGTACTTGTGTTTGGTACTGACCCACGTTTACCTTGTGGGCGTTTCGATACTGGACAAAGTTTCCCCTCCCAAGAAAGAAGGCGGCACCGCCACCCGATCCCTCTGCACGCCTGCCAAAAGATCCCTCTCCAGTCCACAGTATTGAGCTGCCGTGAAAACAAGCCGAGTGGGGTCTCTGTCACGCTTCCCAAATCGGCCAGGATTGCTAAAATCCGCCAGACTGGAGGGCATTCCCTCACCGCCACTCTTGTCCCCCTTTCCCCTTCTCTTAGCACCAGATCTGAGTTATGGACGGCTTCCCCCCCCCCCCCCCCCCATGCGGAAATCCACGGGATCCTAAGAAGTTGCTGGAGTTGTTTCCTAGAGGCAGATAGAACAGAGGCGCCCAGGCACCCCCCCCCCCGCGCAAAGTGGGCCTGTAATTTACAAAGAATTAAAATTGATTCTTTTCATCAGGCAAAGAAAATAGGAAAATGTGAGATCGTTAATTATTGAGAGAGGCGCTTTCTCATTAGAAGCAGCAATGTTACCATTCAGCACCGAAAGGAGGCAATGTGAATAATAATCATAACAACTCATATTTCAGCTCGGAACACATACGCTTCCCAGCTCCACGAAAAGCGCCAGCACAGAAATAACATCCCAGAAAATGATAATAATAAAATACATAGAGGCACACAAATCCATCAAAGGATGGAGAGATGCCCCTAAATCCTTAGTATACCAACTTCTTTCAAAGAACCTCTTTCTGCGTTAAACATGTTTCGATGCAGCTCGGAACTCCCGTTTTGGAGATGGATTCCAGTGATCAGAGTGTTTTTGAATCGAAGTAAGAAAAAGCTTTTAAAAAATACAGCGTGTGTGCGAGGGGGGAACGGGGTTTCCTCTAAAGTATGCAAAGTAATCAGGCAGTTATGCAGATTCACCGCCTATTCCCTTCAACCCACCGGCAAAGACACAAATAAATGAGAGACAGAAGTAACTTCGCAACAATTCGTGCCCCCAGCCCCGCCTCGAACTATTCGCTTCCACTGACATCAGTTGTAGGATCGTGGCCTCCAAAAAAGTGCAGGTTCTGGCTCAGAATGAGGGTGGGAAGGGAGTCCTTTCTGTTGCAGCGGCGTTGGACTCCCCTGAAGATGACAACTTCACCCTCGACCGAGCCGGGGAGCGACTCCATGCCTGCCCCCCCCCCCACGCCGCCCCGCGCGCTCCGCGGCCCGCTGCGCCGCCTCCGTCCCCGGTCGCAGGACATGCCCAGATGAGACGCGCTCCCGAATGCCCCCCGCACCGCTTGGCCGAATGGAAGAAAAAGCAGTGTGCGTGCGTGTGTGTGTGTGTTGCGGAGGGGGGGTAAAGCGTGTGTGCGTGTGCAGGGGGATGATTTCCCCTCGCCCAGCCCTTTGGCAGGCACTCTTGTACAAAATTCAATCTCTATTTTTTATGAGAAGTAAACCGTCTAAATAAATTTTATTAGGGGCAACCAATATATTTTCTGGTCGTTCCCTTTGTTCCAGTCCTACGTGTGTGTAACAATCTAAAACCTATTTATGGAGGGAAAATCGCCGGATCCGTCATAGAAAATCCTTTTACTTTGCTCTGAAGTGATTTTCTGAAGAACACCCTTGTCATGGTGGAGATTTGGGGGCCCATCGTGCTAAGCCGTGCCTTGTTAGGAACTTCACTTTGCCTGATCAGGTGGGAAATACCTTCCATTATCCAAGGACTGACTGGCACTTTTCTGGCTTGGGGAGGGGGTGATGGGAGGGCGGCTGGGTAGGTGGGGAGCACAGAGAGGGAGGCGGGCGATGGAAAAGATGACGAGAGGGGCTGTGAGAGCTCTGTAAATACATTTCCGCCTCGGCCCGGGTGGAATCAAATTCTCCGCAATACGCTTGGACCGCAGAGCCGAGGAGATGAGATGTGCATGCGTTCTACAAAGAGAAAAATCAAGAATATTTTCGCGCTGACAAGCCACGGGCCCTCGTGTCCCCCTCCTCCCTCTCTCCCTCCAATTTCTCTTCTTTCCTTTCTTTTCTCTTCCCCCACGCCCCACGCCCCCCGCAAGCCCATCGCGCTCTGAAGTCTCGGAAGGAATGATTTAGTTTGTTTATCCTGCTATAAAAATCAAGAGCAATAGAAAAGTCATAAAAGGGAGCGCGCCATCCATCACGCCGCAGCCTTGTTTTCCAGCGGCTGCTAAGCGAGATGGATAAGCCGCGGGCTTTAGCCCCTTGTTAGCGCGATGATGGGGCTGCCCATTAACTATTACGCCCTTTATTTATCGACTTGCAGTGTGCAGGCCGAGCCGGCCGAGCCAAGGATCTGCTGGAGGCAGAGGGTGGGCAAGCGGCTAATGGGGCACTCCCTAAAACGGGGGGGGGGGGGTCGGGTCGTCGCCGTGGGATATTTGGTGCGGCCAGAGTCGGAGGGCGGGACAGAAGCAGAAGGTCCGAGGCCGGGAGGCGCGCTTAGCATCCGGCAGAGGTTCTCCTGAAAGGGCCCGGTTCCGGAGAGGCGCCTCCGAAGGGCGAGCGCGATCCGCCCCATGCAGAGCTTCCGCGGCGCGTCCGGCGGAACTACCGGGGACTGGTTGCCCGCGAAGGCCGCCGGCAGGTCAGGTCAGGCCAGGTCAGGCCAGGCCAGGCCAGGCCAGGCGGCCGGGCGGGCAAACGGCTCTGCGGGTCGCACGGCAGCCCTGGCGCCGTCCCCGTGCAGGCGGCGCGCCGCCGCGACTCCGGAGTGCCTGGCGAAGCGCGCGTCGCTCGGCGCGGCTGGGTTTTGTCCGATGGGGTCGGGGGTGGGGCGGCAGCATCACGGGCCGCTGGGGGAAGCGGCCGCCGCCTCCCCCGGCCCGGCCCGGCCCGGCCCGGCCCGGCCCGCGCTCCCCGGCCAGGGGCCGCCGCCAGCTCCAGGGCGGCCGAGACCTCGCGGCCCGTGAGCGACGCCTGTCCCGCCGGCCGGCAGCCCGGGCAGCGACGCCGGGCGCTCACCTGCCTCGCCTCTCGCCCGCCGCGTCCTTTGTCTTCGCCCGCCCGCCGCCCGCCGCCCGCCGCCCGCCCGCAGGGGGCTCTCCGGCATCTGCTCGCCTCGCCGCCCGCGTCCGCGGAGTCGCCCGGCTGGCGGGCGGCGGCAGAACGCCGCTCGGCCCGCGCGGTGGGCAAGCCCCCCGGGTGCATCCTCTGCCCTCGCTTTCTGCGTGTGCACGTCGGGGTGTGTACGTGTGAGCTTTGTTTGCACTAAATGGGTACTCTTAATTGGATCACTTTCGAATTAAAAATCAATGCTAATCAAGCTGGAAGTAGGAATTTTCAGTTTGTGCCTGGCCTAGATGGCACCCCCCTTTTTTGAGAATGGGAAAAGAGAGTGAGAGAGAATTAAATAACTTTAAAAGGCCATTCTGTTCTGCTACAAATACAATTGCAACGGATTGTTTAGGAGCGGATCAGAAACGGTACAGAATTTTGCACTTAATTTCCTCCGTTATCATTTACAATAAGAACCTCTCGCCTTGACAGCCAAGTCTAAACAGTAGTAAATTAGTACAAATTTATACTGATTTTACTCTAATAATCGTAATAAAAGCTTATAGATTTGGCACTAATTACATAAATGCCTAATGATCTTGAAAATTACTCTGGTTAGAAATATATTACTAATCTAAACTTTGTTGTTGGCTGGCTTTGAAAAATCAGAACATTAGAAATGGTTCGCTTCCCTTGTGCAAAGCACTTGAAATTGTTGGGATAGTTTAACATATTCGAGAGGAAAATATTTTGTTCTTTTCTTTTTTGGAAAAGGGTTTCACTTAATATTCTGCCTTTAGTTGGCTTTGGGTACAAGCTGAGCTCAGAAACTTTCTCACGCGCCCAGGGGAACAGGGTGCCTTGCCTGCACTGCCCTTTTCTTAAGCCAGACCAACATCTGGAAAGATTTCTGGTTTATACCATATTTAATACCAGGGACTGAGATCCTGGCAGAGCGGAAAGAACGTGCTGCTAGAACCCAGATTAATGAATAAATTTCATTAGGGTCAGTCTGCTTTATTGTTCGCTGCCTTTCCTACCATCCCAGTAGCGATCGAGTTTATACACCAGATTAAGCGACCCTTAAATAAAACCACCCAACACAGTTCAGCCCAGGACAAGAACGGAGTCCCCCTCCTGCATCTGGGCAGAATCTGTGCCCCCTCTTCTCTCCCTACAGAGCTACGACAGGAGCCCTTAAAAGGTTTTGTTTTGGTTTGGGAAGAGAAGTGGGGGTAGGAGCCCCTCTTCGTACAGATACAACCCGCCAGCCCTTCGCTCCCCCCATCCAAATTCCCTTTTTATTGGGTTGGCTTTGTCAGTCATTTTCAAGTAATTTGATCAGGAGGTCACTTTTGTTAGAAAAATAAAAGGGAGAAGGAGGAGGAGGAGGAGGAAGATCGCGGGCTGCGGGTGGGGGAAGAGGTTGTCTCTAATGCAATCAGTCGTCTTGGGGAGAACCGAATTGCAAAGGGGGATTTAAAAGCCCAGCCCGCGCCGCGCCGCGCCGCGCCGCGCCGGGCTGCTGCAGCTGCGGCGGCGGCGGCGGCGGCGGCTGCTGCTGGCGGCGGTGCTGAGGCTGCAGGCGGGTGGAGCGGGGACTCTTTGGGTGCTGACATTTGCAGGCTGCCCTCCTGATTGGTCCCTTCGCTGAGCTGCTCACGGGTTCACTGAAGTGTTAAGCACCTCCCCGTCTCTCTAAAGGACATTATAATGCAAGAGACCCCCTTTTTAACCACACACCGAATTTTCTTTCATTTAGGCGATCTATATATAAATATATATCTATAAGCTTTCGCGCACTAGATCCATTTTAACTTTTTTTTCTCCCAAAAAAACCCACCAACCAACCGCTAAAATTTGGGGGGGAACAGCTTTCGCCCTGGAGCGGTGCGCGATGCTATCTCACGCCGACCTCCTGGACGCCCGGCTCGGTGAGTTGCCCCCCGACGCCTCTTCCCCCCTCTTCCTCCCTCTCCCTCTTTCTCACCCCCAGCAGCATCTGGAGCCAAGGAAGAAGCGAAGGGCAGGAAATTGACAATTTGTGCCTGATTTTACCTTAATGCGATCTAAATGGGCTAATTTCTTTAAAAGTAATTGTACTGTATTAAAGTTTAATTTGATTTAACATCCTCTCTCTCTAAAAAAAAAAATCTGTGGAATATGTAGATCCAGAAAGAGAATTGGGGGGCCATTTCGTTTTGGGTTTTTCCCCCTCTTCTTCCTCATCTTCTTTGTCTTTCTCCGTGGGGTTTTTTTTTTTAATTTATTGAACCCATTTTCTTTGAGAAGAATCCAACGCGCGTGTATCTATGTGTGAGCGCGAGCGCGCGTGTATAATGAACAAACGAACCCGGGCGCGCGTGGGGCTTTTTACAGCCCGGCGTTGCGAAGCCTCCCAGGGCAGAAAAGGCGAGGGAGCCCCTGTGCCCCCTGGGCGGGAAGGGGGCGGCTGCGGCCCCGCGCGGGCCGCCCGGCTATTAAAGCGGGGTGGCTCTGCAGCTCGCGGGAAAGTTGGCCGGCGGGCTTCGCTCTCCGCAGCCGGGCAGGGGGAGCCCGGCGCGCCTCCAGCGGGGCCGGCCGCGCTCCCTCCCGCCCGCCCGCCCGCCCGCCCGGCGGACGCACCGCTCCGCTCCGCTCCGCTCCGCACCGCACCGCACCGCTGAAGCGCGCTGGGCCGCTGCTTTGCCTCCGCAGGAATGAAGGACGCCGCCGAGCTGCTGGGCCACCGGGAGGCGGTCAAGTGCCGCCTGGGCGTCGGAGGCTCGGAGCCCGGCGGCCACCCGGGCGACCTGGCGCCCAACTCGGACGCGGTGGAGGGGGCCACGCTGCTGCCCGGCGAGGACATCACCACGGTGGGCTCGACGCCCGGCGCGCTGGCCGTGAGCGCCAAGGACCCCGACAAGCAGCCGGGCCCGCCGGGCGGGCAGAACCCCGGCCAGGCCGGCCAGCAGCAGGGCCAGCAGAAGCAGAAGCGGCACCGGACGCGCTTCACGCCGGCGCAGCTCAACGAGCTCGAGCGCAGCTTCGCCAAGACGCACTACCCGGACATCTTCATGCGCGAGGAGCTGGCCTTGCGCATCGGCCTCACCGAGTCCCGGGTCCAGGTATGCCGACGAGCGGGCGAGCCCCGCGCCCGCGCCCGCGCCCTTCTTCGCCCGCCACCGTGGCGGGAGCCAGGCGCTGCCGGGCCGCGGCGCCCCTCCACGCCCGAGACCCAGATAGAGCGCGACGGCACAGGCGCGGGGCCTGGAGCGGCCGCCCAAGCAATAGCGGAAGCCGCTTAAGCAGGACCGCGAAGCTGCCTAGACTAGGGACAAAGGGCGGCGAGTCCAAACCACGCTTTTCAGCCGACCAGCCGAGGAAAACCTAAAGCACGCGCCTTCCGTTGGGCTGCCGCTGCTGGTCTTCTGTTTTAAAGTTGTCTAAAAGTGAGAAAGGCTTTAAAAAACCCTAGAGGTGTGAACGCAGCCATTAAATAAAAAGCACCGCCAAGAACGAATGCGCTCAAGGCCAAGAGGAGACGCTATTCCGGGTTTTTTAATTAAAGAAGACTTCCGCCCCCGCCCCCCCTCGCCCCCGCCCGCTCTCCAGCCCGAGGCTGCCTGCAAGAACACAAGCGCCTCTGTACCAAACTTGGGTCGTGCTTTTAACAGCCCCGGAATTTAGGTGCTGTTCGTTCAATGAACAGCACAAGCGCGGAGATCGATTCCTAAGCAACCAGACTGGCACTCCGGTTCCAAACACCTTACTTGATTTCACCACCGGTTATATCGGCGGGATCTGCCTGCAAGAAAGGCTTTTGGGAAAGGAGTGTAAGAAATATCTAAAATGGTCCTTAAAACCTCAAGACAGACTAAAACATGTAATTTTAACTGAATTATAGACTATTCCGTCTCAGAAAATAAGAGCTTGCAAGTTTACTAAACAAAGTGTTAAAAGCATTTTAGAAAATATAATATAATTTTAGTATACCAAGTATATTAAATCTTTTATATAATTTCTATCCGTATAAGAAAGCAAATTGTGTTTTTGTGTTCCTACTTCTCCAACCGACGCTGATTCAATCTGATTTCGATCCGGGATTAGTTAAAACGGCTGTGCGCTGTCCTTGGTCCTGAAGCGTTCTTCTCCTTGGTTCTTTCAGCTGGGATTATTCTATTCGAAACCTTTCACAACTAAAGAGAAGGGAACTGTGATCCAAAAAATTTAGCTTCATAAAAAGGAGCTAAATTTCCATGATCCCTTCGTATTATATATTCTTTGAAAAAAGACTTTAATTTAATTCTGCTGGCTCCAATAGAAATCGTTTTAGTCTGATATTATAAGCAGGTTTATTAGGAACTTAATTACATGGACATCTACCAGAATTACTTCCAGACAAATGAATGGTGCATTGTTTGATTTTTAAGGTCCATTCCAAGCTAATCCATTTGGCAAGGAACTGGAGAATGTCAAACAGATAATTCCTGCGGAACTTTAGAAATAGCACTTTCAACTTCCTAGGATGATTTTTCTGTATGTCTTCAATGGATTATCTACTATCATATGTAACTTATTAAAACATTTTTAAAATTAATTTTAGGATTAGTATATACTTTAATAGGGATACTCTGAAAGACTGTTAGGAATGCCCAAAACAAAGCAAAGCTATTTAAAACAATACAATAAAATAAAAACCTGAAAGCCATAATTTTATGAAGACATTTTAAAGTCAGCAGAACATTTTTTTACCTAACAAGATTTATTCAGCCAATGCAGAATGATAAATGAATAGAAGAATTTGAAATAAAATATATCAGAGCAATTGAACTGAAGAGAAAAAGAAAATGAGGTCTAGTAAATTCCACTTGGTTTCTGAAAAGGTTAATGAAGACAATTTCATTATCAGGAATGTGATGAATGAAAACAAAATCAGTACTATGGAATGGAAATAGTGATTCTTTATCTGTTCCTCACACCCCTCTGATGGTGGAAATGCATAGGAACTGAATAATAATCTTGGCCCTTAACACATTTACTAAGAGTAAAGGAAAATGAAGGCCAATGTGCATGGAATTTTATTTTGGTCTTGTTAATGCATCATAAATTCAGCGTCAGATTCAAAGTAATTAATACAGAACAATATATCCACCTCACTAAAAGCATGAGTTACAACTGCTTAAAAACATGTTTACTGTCTTTCAGTGTCCTCAACCTAGTCTTAAAAAACCTAGCCCATTTTTGGTCATTTGGATTACACTGCGCTGGATCACTACCTGGAGTCATGCAGCATAATCTTAACCATATTTGCTCTATTCATTTCAAACCTTACTTGGAAGCAAGTCTCATCCACATACACAGGACTTACCTCCAAGTTAAATATGAGGGGGAAAGTATCTTAATGACCTCAGCATAATCCTACACTCTGCTAATGGCTTCAGGCAGTTGAATAGAAACAGTTTAATCGAGTGGCAATTTAAATATTCTTTACAATAATGTTCTGCAGTTTAAAAAGTAATCAAATCAACATAACCTTCTTAATTAACACTTCAGAATGATTAACATTGTGTAAGCTCATGCAAAAATAAATTATGGGAAACGTATTTACTTCCCAGTTCATTGTATCCTCGCTACTTGACCAAATGGAAATGAAAGAGTAATGGATGGGTTTATGTTCTCGTTTACACAATCTTTCCAGCGTGTAGGGGGCTTCATACTGATCCGGAAATGCTCCACATGCCTGCCTTTAGAGCAGCCTTGTATGTACATAATATGCAGGAATAAATTATCTCTTTTCCATTTTCCTATCTCCATTTTAAAAAGCTACTCCTGCTTGTCAATGAGGAGGCCCGTTTCACATCCAAGCTACCATTCTGCTTCTCTCCCCCCACCCTCGCCGCCTCTTTCCAGACCGGGTGTAATAAAACCATTCTTTTTATAGCATGCCATTATTAGAAACCAATTTCAGAATTATTTATAACCTGGAATGGCTTATTAAGCAGCAATGCGAGAATCATGCAAATGACAGCGATCCAATGCAATATAATAAGCATAATCATTAGTCTCCCGCACTGATTAATTAACTTTCAATATTTTATTTACATAAAAAGCAAATCAGTGAAATAACTTCTGCACAGCAAGGCTTGCCTTTCAATATTTTACACCAACCTAAAAATAATGTGCTGGGACTCCATTGACCGTGTCACCTGCCACATCTTAATAGGGGACAAGCTGAGAGTATTTTCTAGTTTTCTAATGGAATGAGAAATTGCATTTTCTTCCTCTCCCAGCAACTATTAAAGCGTAATGAATTCGGCCTAGAGTTCACGGCTGGCTGATCGAAATGAACCTGAGATCTGAGCCTCAGTGCAGCTCCCCAGATTTCCTACCAAATCTTCACATTAATCATCCTCTGGATTCCAATGAGATCTTCATAAAGCTTTGGGAGAGAAAGGAGAGAGAGGGAGAGAGAGAAGAGGAACGCAATATCCTCTCCCCTCTTTCTTCCCCATTTATAGCTGGGGAATTAAACGGGCTATATATTTTCAAATACATTTACAGTATGTCTATATTACTGTAACAGCAGGTATCATGAAAGTAGAGTTTGAAATTGCAAACTCCATTAGACCCTTAGTGTTGTATTAATAATGTTGGGCAATGTGGAAGCAGAGAGGGAGTCACTACATATTCTGATCGCATGCTGAAGTTGCCCAAATGCCTGTGGCTAATATATTTCCAGCACTGAGTTGTCATGTGTGTCTTTTCAAAGCCTCCCTCAGGTTCTCTCTCCCGTTTAATCTGTCATGCACTGGTTTCCAACTGGATACGTTCACATTTTCAAAAGCATATGCGCCGTCGCTCTGAAGTGAGGCGATGAAGACCTGATGGAGAGTCTTTTACAACCCCAGTAAACCATGACACATAAAAAGATTTTGTAGCCGCCATTTAACTATTAACCCTAAAACATAATTGAACAAGACTCCCCCCCAGGTCTTTTTTCTTTCTTCCTTTCAATTACTATTCCTATAACATTTAGGTCCTTAACAGCTGCTCCTTCTCACTTATGGTCAAGTATGTTTTGCAGTCTAAATAGAAGGGCTTGAAAGAATGTGGGTGTATTTATAAACCATTCAAATCAAGTTATAGTTTTACCTTAGAATTAAATGCCCCATAGACTGTCCCTAAAAGTAGAGTAGATCAAAAGCCTACAGCAGTTTGAATCAGGATGCAGAGGTGGAGTGCGAGATAATGCTCTTTCAAGAACGGTGTGACTAACACACAAACAACTTATTAAAAGATTCTTATGCAGTTAGTGGTAAAAGTAATCTGAGCATGTTGTAGAAACTGTTCCAATTCCTCAGCGTGCTTGTTTGAAGATGCTGGTGGCTCAGGAAGATTTTTAACAGGTGTGATGAACCCAGATTTGACTACATATGGGGGTGGATAGCATAATCCAAACACAGAGCCATAATCACTTTTTATATGGCAAAAGTTCCTGCCCTTTGTTAACATAGCAACTTGTTGGGTGACATCAGCAGCATGACCGGTACATTAAAGTAGAGCAGGGTGAGACAACTGGAAGGAATAAAGAATTAAGCTAGCAGACAATAAGAAATGGATCAGATATATCAGGTGAAGAGACAGAACTGGAGAGAGCTAGCCAGCTAACAACCTCAAGCAGATTCAATAGAAGTATTAATTAAAAAAAACAAAACAACTAGGTCAACTCACTTATTTGGAATTGATAACATTTATATCTATTGCTACATCTGTTTATATGTGTAACAGATGCAATTGAGGAACTGAGAATAAGACAAGCAAAAAGGCTAACATTGTCTCCTCATAGTCCTGCAAATGCAATCCTAAATTTGGAAGTAAGCACCATTGAATTAAATAGAAGATGTTTAACATTGCATTATGAGGGAGGCATGGGAGCAAGCCCCACTGAACAAAGTGGGGCTTTCTTAAACATGCTTCAGATCACAGTGCCCTTCTGCTTGCTTTCATATCCAGCAGAGAATTTTGTTTTATTTTTCATGTTTACTTAAGTAAGTAAAGAAGCTTAGAGGAGGCCAGTCTGATTTCTTGTTTTAAATGCTTGAATGTAATGCTACAATGGAAAATAGAATATGCTGGCAGTTCAAAGCTTGGTTCAACAGCAGCTGAAACTGATGAAAGCTTGGTAAAGCATCAGATGAATACCTAAAACAAAATGTTCCATGAATACTGGAATGACAGCTCAGTTGAGGCAATGATTTAATACAAGATTCTTGTTGCATTTCCTAAACAAGGCACTTGTACTGAATATCAGCTTCACTAGAAATATAAAAACAAATTAAAAAAGATCTCAGAATCAAATCATCAGCTTTTTAATTAAACCTGTAAAACTGTTTAATTCCCTGCTCTGTTTCACTGATAGGTGGTTCTGCCCAAAGAAAATCTAAATTATATGACACCTGGTTAGTATGTTTTGACTATCTTTCAATTTCAGATGAGAAATGATGCATCCCAGAGCTGGAAAAAGCAGGTTCTTACATTAAGCAAATGAAGGTTTCCTCCTGTCTTACTTAAACAGGACATTGTTGGAAGTTTCCAGAAAACAGGAAATGGAGATGACTGTTGCCACTTTATTTGCAAAGCAAGCTCAAGCTTAACTTATCTAATAATATATAGTTTCTAGCTAAGTGAACAGAGCAGCTGGGGTTGGGTAGAATCTCCTGGTTACACACTGCCACTCTAAGCACCTTCAGGTAGTTTTGAAGTAGTCAATAACTAATCTGGTTTAGTGGCTTTCTTTTCATTTGCAATATTTTAATCTTGGGGAGCGTTATTTGGGTCTTCTTTACATTATAATATGAATATCACTTGGGTGCTGAAGAAGACAGAAAAAATCTGAACACATGAACCCCTTTCAAAAACATATGACTTATGTAAATACAGAGGGGGAAAAGGGATCCAAATTTAAGTTGAATCAAATGTGTTGACAGAAGTGGGATTCCCTAGCCCCTCCTTTCTATCCATCCCCATGAACATGTTACACAGAGTCAGGATACCCTGCTAAATGTGGCATATGTAGGAATCCTCCAAAATAAAACAGAGATGCCATCTATGAGCAGAGCTCTTCTGCTCATAGAAGTCAATTCCTGGATCCAATCCATAGTACATTCCAATGATTTCAGCCTGTGATACTTTACCATTTATCATTTAATCAGAGTGCAACTGATTAAAAAGGTATATATGGATACTATATACAATTATCTATATAAACAGTAGATAATTGCATATGGCACCTACATGCAATATGGAGACACACTCACTGCATATGCACATTACTAAAAGTATTGTCTCCTTTACTGGGCTAGGGCAGTATGTGTCCAAAGCCTTTGCTTAGGTGCTTACATTCAGCAACTGTGCTTGTATGCGTGATTTTGAACCTTGGGATGAAGTAGTAGTGCCAAACACATGCACAGCACAGATGGATGCCAACTGCATTTAGACAAGCATCTTTTAATCTGCTTTTAATATGGTGGACAAGAATGCAAATCTGGCTAATGTAAAGCTGTAACCTATGAATAACTGGTCCTACATAACTATTTCTGTGTATACATACACATAACTTGAGGAATGTACTTGTAATTCTTTTATATACAGGCCTCAATGCAAAGGGGAACAAGGGATACAGTCTATATTCTGATTCATATATTTACTGTCCACTTTAAGTATAGGTTGCATTACATCCATATGTGATATATACCATTGAGGCAAACATGCTATATGAACCAGACAGGCATAATCTAGTACCTTAAATTAGCATGCCTACCATGACTCTCTTGTTCATCTTATTTTATTTACTGTGGGTGTAGCCTAGTGTATCTGTGTAGCTGTCTTTATTGTATTTCTTGGCCATGCTTCATATCCCATTAGCTGATCACTTAACAGTGTTGCATCTCCAGTGAATTCGAGTGGTCAGCAAAGCAGTTTCTTATAATCTCAGCCAAAAACTAGTTTAACCTGAATTCTTATCAGTATGTTTTGATGTACCAGTCAGATAACTTGTGGATTGAACTATTAATGAAAGTCTTGCTCAAATGAAAGCAACAGAACACCTGCATTACTTCAAGAAAGAAAGAAAGGAGACCCCTTTCTAATGATTATTTATTTTAAACTGCCAATGGTCCTGGTGAAAGTCACATGTAAGAGTGCTTAGAATGGGGTGTTATAAGAACCATGAAACACAATTACACTCGCATTGATTTAACCCAAGTTCTGCACAACTAGTTAAAGCATCAACTGTAACCTCCAGAGAACAGACAGTGTTTTTCTTTCTTATTTGTGCATCACATAGCATGGCCTTCTGAACCAGATGTGGATTTTGGTAGTTAAGCAAGAGAAAATAAAAAGGATACTCAAAAGCAAAATAAAATAAAAAGGATAATTAAAAGATAATAGTCATAGAAAAATTATAACAGTAAATATAAGATTGCATAAAATCAACACTAGTGATCCAAGAAGAGCTTCTGAATTATGTTTTCTATCAAGTGATTTATTTAAGACTTTAAAACTGTTTAAACAGGGAGTGTAAATTTATCTTATTTTATCCCTCAGGCCATAGCACCTTCATTAAGTGTGGTCTAATATCTCCCTCCCCCTTTTTAAAGATCCTCCCTTCTCTCGGATGGAAATTGAACAGTGGCCCTTCACTAGGCTCCCTCGGTCGAATGTTGTGCGGCCGAGAGAGACCAGGGTGCTAAAGCTTTTGCAAATTTGGAGGCGTCCAGGCTGAGGGCCAACAGCACAGCAACCCGCGCCCTGCAAGGCCAAACGGCAGAGAGTGCCCTCTGGCAGCCCACTTCCGACTTGGCGGCTTCCTCAGAGATGCGGGTGGTCCGGGGTCGGGGGGGGGCGGGGGCGGCGCCTTCCTGGCTTGGCCTCGTGTGGCGACCTCCTCCGCCAGCACTAACCCGCTTTTTCCTTCTCGCTCTTCTCCCCCCTTGTGGCCTCTCCTCGGCGGCGACGGGCAGGTCTGGTTCCAGAACCGGCGGGCCAAGTGGAAGAAGCGCAAGAAGACGACCAATGTGTTCCGCGCCCCGGGCACGCTTCTGCCCACGCCGGGCCTGCCCCAATTCCCATCCGCTGCCGCGGCCGCGGCCGCCGCCATGGGCGACAGTCTGTGCTCCTTCCACGCCAACGACACGCGCTGGGCCGCGGCCGCCATGCCAGGGGTGTCGCAGCTGCCCCTGCCGCCGGCGCTGGGCAGGCAGCAGGCCATGGCGCAGTCGCTGTCTCAGTGCAGCCTGGCGGCGGGGCCTCCACCCAACTCCATGGGCTTGTCCAACAGCCTGGCGGGCTCCAACGGCGCCGGCCTGCAGTCGCACCTCTACCAGCCCGCTTTCCCCGGCATGGTGCCCGCCTCCCTGCCCGGCCCCAGCAACGTGACGGGTTCGCCGCAGCTTTGCAGCTCCCCGGACAGCAGCGACGTGTGGCGAGGAACCAGCATCGCCTCCCTCCGCCGAAAGGCACTAGAGCACACAGTCTCCATGAGCTTCACCTAATGGCGTTTCCCTCCCGCCTTCCCAGCCAGCCAGCCAGCAACCTGTCCCAGCCGCGCCTTCCGCTTTCCCGCCCTTTTCTTCGCCTCAGCCTTGCCCTCTCACGGCCCCTTCCCCCTACGGATCGCATCGTTCCCGCCATTTTATTTCTGTTTATTTATTTTACTTAAAAGAGGAGGGGGAGGCAGAATAAAACACTTACCAGGGAGTCGACTCAGGATCTGAAACCAGTGGACTGGTTTGCGGGCAGAGAAAAAACGAGCCAGCGAGCGAGCGCGCACACGCATGCAAACCCCACACACAATCCCAGGCAAGCCGCCCGGATCAAGCCTGCTGTGCTCCAAGGGCGGAGACGCAGCCAACGCGTGTCTTAATTAAGATTTAAGAAATACCTACCCTGACAAAGGACTCGATGGACCTCATTTAATTTCTCCCGAAATTGCACCCCCCCACACACACACGCCACTACAATCCCAAATTCACCCTTGAGTGATCTAGCCGCCGTCTGTTGGGCTTTGTGTTATTTTTTGGAGGAAGCACAACAAGATCTCATTATAGTCTCTATATATAAAACTATAGATATAGATATATATATATATGTACACAAATAAAGATCCAGGTTTGTCGCAGGGGTTTTGATAGAAGGTTTTCTTAACGGGCAAGCTCAACCTTTGGGTGGCTCTGAGACAAAAAGAGCGGGCATGATGTGCGAAGCATGGATGGGGAAACGGAGCCCATTTTGATAAAGCATTTTTAAACGATGTGGGGGGAAACTCACGCGATTTTTTAAAAACCTCTCCCCCAGCACTACCCGTGTTTTCCTGAGCCTTCTGGTTTCTAGATCGCTCAACTACAAATTTTGTCGACCTTTTTCTTTGTTTCGGTTGTTGTCCCCACAGCATCTCCGCTGCCCTCACCCACTCTGACCAGCGGGCACAGTGGATGCCTGGCGCACGTGGACTTGAGGCATCTCCGACCCGGCAAAGACTTTGTACAGATCAAAACAATCAGCTATTTTTTCCCTCCCCTTCTGCATGTGCTGGTTCAATCCCAGAGAACAGAAGCTATTTCCAAGAATGAACAAACTGTGAAATAGGATGTTTTGTGTAGATAAAGCATTCTTGTTACATACTGGTCGATTTGTGATATGTAAAAAAAGAAGAAAAAAAAAAGAAAAAAGAACTCTTACTGTCTGTGCTTATTTATTATGGAATTTTGGGTTTCTTAATAAATGTTTGAGGCTACTATAAACCATATGATTTGACTTTTCCCGACAAGTTTATATCAAGTTAATGTAAATGGATAAATAAAATCATTTTCAATATGTGATAATGAGGATGGTGTGGCGTGCGATAAGAGGTGTTTAAAGGAGAGAGGAAATTTCCTATTTAATCTGGAGGGGGGTGTAATACATTTGAAAATAGTTCGCTTGCTTGAATTTTGCGATGAAGCATTTAATTTATGACAGTTTGAATACTTCATATGAATAAACTTTTTAATCTCTCTGGGTAAATGACCTTAATGGAAATGGCAAGATCAACCAAAAGCAACTGAAGTTACAATAGCTAACTCTCTGTGCGCGTGTGCGCGCGCGCATATATGCATGCATGATATGCGTGCGTGCGTGTGTGTAAGTGTAAGGAAGAGTATTACAGTGAATGTGGCAAAACTCCCAGAATCCTTTGTGCGGGTGAAACGCTTGCCTTTATGTTAGTTCTTAATCTAAGAACAAAAATGTGTTTGGTCGGTTTCAGTGAAGCCCGATTCTTTTCACAGAGGTTCATAGAAGGGCTTATTGCAAGAATAATCCGGGGATCCTTCAATGAAAGTACTGCTAACTGGTATATATTCCTGCCGATTACGATGGCGATGAACTCCAGAAAGAAAAAGAAAATTACATAGAAGTCACAATTTCCAACGATATAAAGCCAAAGACAATAGCTAATCAAAATCTGCTGGGTGTGTTTGGGTTAAATAGCTCCCGGGTGTTTCCTTTCATCTTGACCAAAGGTGTGTGTGCGGGGGGGGGGGGTGAAATGAAATTGACATGTACTTGGAGAAAAGAGAAGCTGCGTTTTGCTACAGACCTTTTCGCGAGTTCAGAAATGAGCCTCTGTTATCGTTGCTGCGATGCACAACGCTGATCTCAGGGCAAAGAAAACATTCGCTTCATTTCCCTGCGCTCTTCGCAAAGTTAGGCTCCGGGAAAGGCTAGGAGAGGTTGCCAAGCATTAGTCAGAAAAAAATTCTCCCCCTTTTAATGGAATTCACTCAGATCGTTTTTGTCTGGACATCAATTACACATCTCTTAATTATACACCTGAGGGTGCCCAAGTCCAGAGCCTTTCACAGAAGGGTCCTTGCTTGCTCCCAAGCTAATATTAGCGATTCTTCTTTAATTTAAAACAGGTACAAAAAGGGAGGCAATGATTAAAGGTCCAGAAAGACAATGAAATCACTTTGGTGACTTGGAGATGGAGCACTTTGGATAACTTTGCCCCCCCAAATGCTATTTCAAGGAAGCTCTTATTTAGAAGTACTCACTCTCCAGGGTTACATGATGGCTGCATAGAAGCAGGAGATAAACATAATTAAGCATAACTTATGGGCTACACTGACAATGTTCAAATATATGCAACCATTTCTAAATAAATTCTAAAAGCTCCTGTTGCTTCAAGCAGACTTTTGATCTTTACTGCTGACGGCAGTCTGGAGTTTAAATGGTTTAGAAAATGGCTAAACTTGAACATTTTTTTAAAATTATGCCCTAACATCTTTGCCTAAACAGGGAACTGAATGAATGTTCATTTGGTAGTTTCATTAAGCATGCTGCATCACACACATTTTAGTCCTGGAAATGCATACAGAAGCATATTTTGGTTCTTTGTTGAATTTTACATCATCTTTGAAATTCTGCAGAGTCCCAATCCATTGATGCACATGGCCTCTTTTTGTACTTTCTATAATTCTATTTGTTACTAGAGCTAATAGCACCTATTTGATTCTTAACCACAGTGCTCATAGGGATATCAGTTTCACAGTCGAGATTCCAGTTTTAGCACTCCCCATTTCAGTATCACTGTACATAGATGTCATCCTTCCATTGTCCTTTGTCTTTTAATTGATATCATAGTATCCATATTATATGCTTCATGCCCTTTTCTCTAGCTTGTCTTTGATCTGCCTTATAATGTATTTTTTTTTCAAATAAAAGACTCTCCTCTCTAAATCTGGTTTGTTTAATGTTGCCAAGAGCAAGACAGACCCTATTTCTGAGCAATTAAGCCATTTTAATTAATACACATTCTAGGTTTTTTCAGTTGCTGGGGGGAATGTTGTGATGGCATGTTGAGTAGCTGAAGAACTAGCAATATGTCATGGTGGAAAATGTGACCTGGGAAATCCCAGCTTCAACTATAACTTCAGCCTGATCACAGCAAAGCTGGATGAACTAAGGCAAGTCACCATTCTTTCCTATGTTAGGTCTCTTCACACATCAGGTAGAGGCAAACCTGGATCTATTCAAGGAGGAGCTGAAAGCAAGCATGTCTCACAGAGTAGCATTATTTATATTGGACATGTTTGCATCACATATTTAAACAAAGGTGCACACTCAAAAGGTAGGATGTGTGGAGTGGTCCTCAGTGTGCATGGCCAAAATCTGCCATACTGAGATGATAATGTTAATCTACTTTACTAACATGAGGTAGGTGCTCTAATCCCTACCTTCCCATCTAAAGTTTGAGCAGACCAACCTACATGCTAATTATATCAGAGCAATTGCATTGAGCTTTAAATAGTATTAGGTTGCATTCATAAGTAAGTCCTATTGAAATCAAGAAGTTTTATTGTTATGCACATATGTTTATGATTGAAATATCAGTCTGTTCAAAATCAATTGATGTAAAATTAATCTGAAGTCTAGTGCTTCAGTACATCTCATTTTCTGGATGAGTTTAGTGATCTGTTAATTCCATAGGTGGCCTTTCATGAATTAAAAATAGCTAATAGACCACATTCCTACACACCTTGATTCAAGAGTGTGTCCCCTTGCCATCAACAGGTATGATGTGTTAACTGAATTTAACAGTGAAGTGCTAATCTTTTAATACTTAAAGTAAACATGCTTCAGACAAAGGGCTATTACCACTACCAATCAAAAAGTACTGTGAAGCACTCCCATTTCACAAAACAGATTATTTTTGTAGTAAGAAAAAAAAAGAGAGAAATGGTGTGAGATCAAGGAGTGTTATAATATAAGGCAAAGACTCAGTTCCCATGAACACCGCAGCCTGCCATGACTTATGCAACTAATGGTGAAGGTGATATTAAATATTCAAGCCACAGTGGGCAGTTGCTGTGGCTTAGCCTGTCATCTGACAGGCTGGGTTGTTGGCATAGTTAACAAACTATCCACAATCCTAAAATAGCTTATGAGAACAGACCCAAAGACATCTGGGTTGCTTGCCAAATTCTACGGATGAGGCAGGACAATTGCGCAATAAAAACCATGTCTGAAAACACCCAAAATCTACTCAGGTTCTTCAAACTTTCAAAGCACTGACCAAACTGCATGATATTGTAGTAGTTTCAGACTGGAAAACTATGCACACTATGCAACTATGCAACTATGTGTGGGAGTAAAGCCCCATCCACCCAGAGATTTCTCAGTAAAGTGCTGCCACTGTATGAAATGGAGCCATAACAGCATAGCAGGATCCTCACATAACCCACTTTTTATCCTTTCTTTTGAAATTCTGCATAAGAGGCACGACTCACTTTACATTTAGGTGATCTGTGCAAATCTCCCACTGCTTCTTCCCAAAGTGCAGCACAGGTTGTTTACAAGCATGTTAATTTTACAGCCTTTTTATATAGCTTTAAGTGAGACAGGTTTATGATGTCGGTATGTAATAAAATACAGTCTGCAAGAGCTTTAAAAAACCACCACAGTCACCACCACCACCACCACCACCATGTGTTTTAAAGCCTTAGCTGAAAAT